GTCAACGATTAGATGATATTAATAAACAAAATCTTATGAAATTAACAAATGAAAATCAAATATTGACGTATGATGAATAAATTTCTTTTAATAAATTTTTTTATATAAATATATTTTATATTAGAATAAAAATATTGAACTTGAATTTGAATTATTACGTTTACGTGAACGTTATAATGGATTAATTGCACATACAAATACACTTAAATATGAATTAAATAATGTACAAAAACAATTACATGAAAAAGAAAAAGTAAATATTAACTTATGAATATTATTAATTTTCTTAATACTTAAATATCTTATTATATTTGTATAGGGACTAAGTAAAAATATATCCTAAAACAGATCGAATAAAACAATCAATCGATGATTAACAACTAGGTATCGGTAGGATCATCTTTTCTTTTTTTGGTCCTGGTTTCAATTTAAAACTTTTTATTGTTTCTAGAAAAAAAAACGACTTTTCTTATAGTCTGTATGATTTTTTGAATATATATAAAATGAATATTGATGATTTTGAGAAATTAACAATCCTAGGTCGAAGATTCCGGTCACCGGATCCTGTAGGAAAGATGCGGGAAAATTCACCGTATCCTGCACGAAAACACTGAAAGTCGCCCGAACAGGGTAGCAGTGTTCCGGCCGGAAAAGTTTCGGATTTTTTCCGGACAACTTCCTGAAGAAAACGCGAGGAATTTGATCGGAAGTCACCGAAAAAATCCGAAAAGTGTCCAGCCGGAATACTGCCACCCTGTTCCAATAACTTCCAGTGTTTTTCTGCCGGAACCCACTCGTACTTCTCGACCTGGGCATAAATAAATAAAAAAGGCCTATCTGTAGATCATTAGTCAGAACAGAATAATAAATATGAAAATGGGTAGTCTAGTTCTGGAACAGAAAATATTACGGGACCAGTTTTAAGTCCCGGTTCAAAGATTACATTAACAGATTTCTTTTATCAAATTTAAAGTAAAAACAAAGTCAAGGTAATCATTTCGATCGGAAATGTTATTGCTAAAAAGTTCTTATCATAAGTGGTTCACATATTGTAATAAAAGAAAAAAAACTCCTGAAAGTGCCGATGGCGCAAGACGCCATCATATTGAATGCCGCCGACATACGTGAAATCACTCTCACAATTCATTACAATGAATACCAACTTAATATTATTTAATAAACAAAAAATGAAAACATTCCTAAAGCAAAACGTCTCAAATTTGAGTACCATTAGAACTCTTCAAAGGTGCTCAGTTTCTATTTTCGTCTTTCTAACAATTAATTAATTGCACGTTCTTTTTTTTTTTTAATCAAAGGTAAATCAGTTCGTGTTGACATGATTTAATGTCATAAGCTATTAATATAAAAAATATCGACAAGATGTTATATCAAATACGGTTGTTGGTTTTTTATCTAATTTGTCAATATTGTTTATCATAGTATCATTTATGTTACTCACATTATGAAAATTGTATGTTATTATTCATGTCATAATGAGAAAATTTTATCGTATATATATATATATATATATATAGCCATGATTTATTTTCTGTCAAGAAGAAATTATGTTTCTTTTTTGTTTAAAATTTTATATATTTTAATTAATATATTTATTAATAAATATAGATTGAGCCAAATTTAAATGTTGATTTGGAAAAAGAACGACGACGTGCAGATGAATTTGACAATGATTATAAATCTTTAAAAATAAAATATGATGATGTATGTGAACGTATTCGTATAGCTACACATCAATTAGAACATGTACAAATTGTACTTGAAGAAACATCACGTCGTTGTGAACAATTGGAAAAAGAAAAGGTAAAGAAAAAAGATAATAATAATAATAATTTCATTCTCTTACATATCGCATACATATTATTCTATGATTCGACTAGTTCAGCTACGGAAAAAATTGGTATTAATACATATGATTTATTATTGCTTCTCCTTTTTTTTCTCTTCATGTTTTTCTATTCACTATTAAATTTCTTAGATAAAATATTTCCATAAGCACATTTTTCTGCACTTATTTTTTTTTCTTTTATCTTATATATAATACTCCTCTAGACTGAGACGATGAATCCAACATAATTATTTATATATAGATTAAAATAATTTTTTATTGTCATTTGCTTTTTGTTCTAGTCTGAAATTAATGCTCAATCTGGATATCTTTCACAAAATGTTCTTAATGTAACATCAAAATATAAAGATAAATTAAATATAATTAAAGTTCGTTTGTAAGTCTTTATTTAGAATCCCAAAAAAAAAGAACAAGATTAAAGAAATTTTGATTATTATTATAGAGAACAAGCAGAACGTGAAAAACGTGAAGTACAACTTCATAATGAAAAATTTCAAAATGATAGACAACCGTTTGATGTAAAAAAGTTTGATATGGTTTCATCATGTCAATTTAATTACTTTTTGAATTGTTAAACAAAACGACTGCTGGTTCAATATCTGCTCCGTCAATAATTCCATTACGTGTTGGATATACACAAAAATCTTCCATTGATACAAATACATTGATTGAAATATGTAGTGATACAAATGATGTTGATATTTATTATACATTAGATGGTTCAAAGCCAGATGCATTTATAACATTAGCAACACGACGTTCGACTATACAATATAAAAAAAACCATTTTATATACCAAGAGATATAGCTAATACAGGCATCACGGTAAAGATATTTGAGAAAACAAAAAAATCAATTTGAAGAATTTTTATTCTTTTTATTAAAATTTATTTAGGGATGGAATTCTAGAAAGTGTTGTAGTAACAAAAATATTTGATGTTAAAATTATTCCATCAGATCATTCATTATCGGATGAATATGAAAATCGATATTTATATGAATTACAACAAGAACGAAAGGTAACAAATTTCAAAATGATAGATAATAAATAAATTCAATAGAAATTTACTTATCTCATGTTTATTGAAATACTGTATAGAGTACTTTTTTTTTATTATGAAATCATACCTATTTTTATATGAAATGTACAATGAATTTGAATCAAGTGAAAGATATATTATTTTTAGTATTTATTTAAGTAATCTGAAAAAGTATATTTTAGAAAAAGATGAGTTTTCATTAAAAGAAACTATGAATTCGATTTTTGTAGAAAACACATCTGAATACATTGAATCTTTCATAAAATATTATGAAAATAAAATAATCTGTTGTATATATGAGCAAGTTTATGTGTCATTATAAATGATTAATCAAGATGTTAAAGTTTAATTAAATATTAAATTTTTCAATATAAATATATTTTAGTTTGCAAAAATATTTATCTTAATTTAATTTAAAAAAATTGATATTCATGAATGTCTCGATATCTCAAGAGTTCAATTAGAAGATCACTAATATAATAGTAGTAATTTAATGCTTGTCTATCGATATTTCTTCAATAAAATGTTTTTTTTTTCTATGAAGTTCAAAACTTATCAAAGTCATTGACATATCTTCAATTTTAGTTTTTAAATTTCGACTTGAAACTTTACATAGAGATAGATGTTAACGAAAATAATTTATTGCGAAATATTTTTCATTTCGCCGATAGGAATATATCTAAAAAACAATTTGTAAACATACAATTAGTAAAGCAATCGAACTTTTTTCTACATATTTAATTCAGTTAAATATATATCTGGTATCAAAAAAAAAAAGTAATTTTATTTATTATTAATCAAATTTCTATATAGAATCAATGCGTCGTTCAACAATTAATTCATTAGTACAAGAAAATCCAACTAATTATACATATTCAAATTCTCAAATACAAACAAATGTTTTAAGGTTTATCGGAACAAAATTATTTTATTATTTGAGCTTTTTTTTTTCGTTTCTAGATGTGCACATTGTTTTGCACCTAAATCAAATGATTTATATACACGATTTTGTACGGAATATGGTCTACCTTGGCAAAAACTAACTCATAATCCACCGGATAATTATTCAGTAATTCAAAATAACTCTATCAGATATGATGACTACTCTTCATTTGAAAAAAAGAAACTACCTAATCCCATTCTGTTGAACAACTCATAGTTATTTACGAAATTATTTTTTCATAAAAGTCATTATACCAGCTAAGATATATAAGAGCAATGATGAGTAATATGATCTCAAAATAACCTATATCTGACATCTATATATGAGTTTTTCAAAAACAGTAAAAAAACGTTTTTCTCTTTCAGAATCTTGAGAAAGCTATTAATTCTTATAAGAAACCCGAACATATGTTGAATGTGATAGAACTACATATCCGAATTACATTCGATGTTCTGAAGCCTAAAAACAAAAAGAAAAGTCATATATTTTTCTATTCTCAGGAATCACACTTACAGAACACGGAAAAAGCTGCATAGTTGGTTGCCTTTGTCCTCGACAGTCATATCTTACAACAGCCATCATTGCTATAATACCTGTTAACTAGTAACCCTCCCCCCAGAATAAAAGTGCATGCCCTTATACAGTGTCTTGGCACATCTCTATTTTTTGGATGGCCTTCTATTGGGGGTCAATTTTTGGTCAGTTTTTAATTAAAATCATTTAAAAAATGAATAATTAATTTATAACTTTAATTATTGTTTTTTGCTGAAAAAACTACCATTTTTTGTAAAAACTGTACTAATTATGATAGGAAAGGAAGGATTTAGCAAAAAAAGATTAGAAAATCGGTTATATTTCCTTAATTATTAATTAATATATATAAAAATTTCGATAATTTTGAAATATATTAATTAATTAGTACATGGCCTTCTGATATAGGGTGGCCGTCTATATTTGGGGAGGGGGAGGGTATATGACTTTTCAGAACTGTAAAATTTGATAAAGAGTATATCCTTTGACGGATCATGTATTGTTCTACATAACAGTATTGATTACTTTACAAATGAATAGTAGTTATCTTATTTTACACGGATAATTTTTCTTTAATTAGACTAATATATGTACAAATTGTAAATCTACTATTCCATTTAATTCTAACACATGTGTTGTATGTGAAACACCAGTATCCAAAGAACCACAACAGCGACCAACTTCTCAAAATCAGGTTTCAAAAAAAAGAACAAACATTTCAAAAAAATTAATCAAATTTTAATGTTCCTCTCTAGACAAGAATTCTATGTCCTCATTGTAAATCAACAAATCCAATACATTTACGAACATGTTATATTTGTGAAAATGTATTAATGCCAACATCAACACCACCAGTAAACAAAAAAAAAATCTTATTTATTTTTTTTTTCGTATTTATATTTCAATAGGAAAAACGAACTTCAATTTCAATTCTAACAATATCAAAACAAACAAATACAATGATGATAACATGTTCAAAATGTTTTCGTTTAAATAATGCTAATGCTCGTTTTTGTGATTGGTGTGGTGCATATCCTGAACATATATTTACATCAATACAATGTACAAAATGTCATACTAATAATGATTCATTTGCAAAATTTTGTTCAGCATGTGGATGTGTTATTGAACCACCATTACGTATTATTGATACACGTCGTAAAAACGATTTGAATATTTCATCTTCATCGATGATTGCTAGTGTATATTAAAATTCAAGAATAAAAAATAAAAAATAAAAAAATAAAACGATTCTTATTTTCTATAGACATTAACACGTAATTCAGTTAATCCTGTATGGCTTAATGCAAATACAACATTAACTAATTATCATCAATCATATTCAACAATTAAAAAAGAAGCTGCAACACAAACATATGGAATTTATTATCCAAGTGCAAAAGATATTGATTTAATTATAACACAAAATAAAAAATTATTAAATGGAAAAGAATTAAAAGAATATCGTCCAATATTAACATCTACAAGTCCAGGAAAAGGATATTGGCAACAACAATTAGATCATATTTGTGCTCATTTAAAAACTTATGCAGTTAATCGACCAGATTTTCAATCATTGATTGGTAAGATCTTTAATATTTAAACAAACTAATACTTTTATTTTGCTATAATGAATAATAATTATTATCTAAAATATAAATTCTCTCTATATATATCTTATATATTAATATTAAAAAAGTTTATATATTATTTAATTATTTTTTTTAGGTGAACCACGTATGGGTAATATGATTCATGCAACTGTCCATGAAAATGAATATCAAGTAACTATACAAACAGTATTTCGCAAACCAGAAAATCTTTCACAATCACCATTTTTTATTAATGAAACAAATGAATATTAACCAGTAGATAATGAATGAAGTTCACCATATTCAAATACAATTTATTCTGATAGTAGGCAAAAATATTCTTTGCAAAAAAAACTTTGTTTTTTACATAGATGAATATCCAAGAGAAATTACAGAAAATATTGAGTGTAAAAATAAAATATTTTATTATAATTTATTTTTGTCTTATTAATTATCTATTATAATTAATAGTCAACTCATGCATTAATTCGATTATTTGAAAAAAGAAATAATAATTATAATGAAAAATCATCACATCAAATCGATATATTAAAAGAAGTTCAACGTTTAATAAAAGAAAAAGTTGATGTTAATATTAAAAATAAAGAAGGTTATACTATTCTACAATTGGCTATATGTAATGGATATTATGAATGTTTAGAAACACTTATTATAGATGGAAAAGCTAAATTAGATAAAAAAGGACCGCAAGTTCTATATATATATCGAGATTTTAATATCAATTGAAATCAAAGATTGACTGTGTATTTTTTCTTTTTTTGTTCATTAATATTCGAAATGTTAAGAAATATTGATTTTGTTTTGTTTTGTAGACGAGGTAATACAGCATTACATGAATGTTTTTTATTAGGATTAGATGGTGCTGAACCATTAAGAATTCTTCTCAAGTAAGTTTAGTTTTTTAATTAGAAATTAAATAATAAAATAATAAAATTTAAATTTTTTTTTGATAAAAGACATGGAGGTGATGCATCTTGGTTAAATGATAAAAATGAAAGTGTTATTGATATAGCAGCAAAACAAAATTGTCCAGAATTATTACAAGCTTTTTCTAAATATCAAAGTGAAAAAATGCTTAAACAACATATGAAAAATTCTTATGATGATCATACAAGAATAAAAACTATTCATGATCATCATTCATCAGAAAAATTATAAAGAAAAGAAAAAATAAAAGCTTTTTTTTTCTTTCTTCACATTGGATAATAGTTGATGAATGTTTGTTTTTTGGTTTTTTTATTATTGTTTTTTCTTAGCAACTGAGTGCTTTGTGTTTTAAATTCTTTCTTTGATACAAAATCTTACTGGGGATTAACAAAACTAATAAATAACGTCAAATAAAATAAAAATAAAAAAATATGAATTAATTTTTAGTACGACTAATGTAGATAGTTATTATTTTAAGTCTTCTTCACTTTATCATTACGATAAAATTCGCTAAATTCTGAGTTAGATCGACTTATTGTTAGGATGATTTGTAATCTATTTTGATCAAGATTTTATTAATAAAATCTTAAAGTTTGAAAAACGACAAAGTTTACAAAAAGAAGGGACTTGTTATCAGCAAAATTGTCTGTACTTTCTTATAAAATTCTATTTTATATTACATATTTTGTCGATATCAGCAACCTTTGGCTAATAGTATAAAACCTTCTAATGCATTTTGTACTGTATACAACGAGATTTAGCTATGTTTGATGTCTTCAGAAAGATTAAGTTATAGAATGTTTTCATGGAAAATACTTGATTTATTTGCTTATATATTCAACCGATCTATATATGAAAAATTAAGCTGTTTTAGTTCTCTGCTGAATAGAATGTGAATATATGAGAAACAATTATTTTTTGCTTTTCTTTACATAAGGATATGATTCATGTCGCATACCATTAAATCTGGACAATAGGGTATGGTGTGCATGAAGAGAATATCTATATCCAAATCAGAGAAAGTAAATTTTATTGGTACATATCCATATGTATTCGAAAGACTTTCTTTATCCAAATATGAATCAACAATTTTTTTTCATACAATATAATCACAAACAGTATGCATTCACACTAATAAAAGAAATATCGTATGTTTACACTTTGACACGTTAAATATCTTTTTTGTTGTAGGAAATCGAATTACTGTTTTTTCGATAAGATTCAGCCGCATCAAAGTGATCCAATCTCGATCATTGATTTATTTTTCAATATGTTTTTTGAACTAAATTTTACTACAGTACGATACATTTTATTTTAGTATTTTGACTGAGCCAAATGCCAGACGTCAAATTTATCGATGATAGAAAATATTTCATATTGTTTTGTGTTTTTTTTTTCGAAACGAAGGTTTTTGAAACAGTCATTCTCATTGATATCACTCAGATGCTTTCTTACGGTGAAAATAAGAAATTCTTGAATAGTCGTTCGATTTTAATGATCTTTTTAACATTATACTAATCATACTTCGTACATAGATTCTAACGTTCTTTTAACACACAGGGCAGAAATTTTCTCATTGTCACTGTGATGCACATTAAAATTGTACGAATCTCACATGTGGACAAACACAATTTGAATATTAGTTTTTTATGAATCTTGGATATCAATGGAACAAGATGTCTTTTTATTATACCATATATATTCCAAATGAGTTTAATATAAATCAAAAAACATATTAACAAGCTTATGAGTGATGATAAATTCATTCTGTCAGTCTTACTGAGATACGGTCATGATTACATTTCACACACTGAAAAAACGGGAATATAGTAGTACTTGTCTAATACTACTTGGAAATAAAATGCAACTTTCATTATCACATATGGCATCAGTATCCAGAAATAAAACTATTTTCATTCAAATAATAACTGTTCTATCGAAATAGAAAAAAAAAACCAAAGGTTAATTTTATTTTAAGAATTGATTTGAATTAGAATTGAAACTGTGTAGCAGTATGTGACACGAGTAAAGTTCATAATTGCAAGTAGACAATTTTTTAAATATTGTAATAGCAAATCAATAAAAGCTTGCACGGATTTCATTCCTAAATATATAGATAAATATTTTTCTGAGTATAATGAATATTTTGTTTATATAAAGGGAATTTTCTGTCTTTCTAACGACCACTTTTAAACCATGTAAGTATCGATGGAAAGAACACTACAAAAAATGCAAAAGAGATGAAAATAATGACATTATAAATGTAACTAATATCATGATAAATATGAATCATATGTAATTAATAAAAACCTAAAATAATTCATTGTAATACACTGTAAAAATTAACTGAATAATTGTAATCACATAGTAATTCATTTCCAAGTAAGATTTATTTTTCTTTGTACTGTCCTTTCCATCAACAGTTAAATATTTGAAAATCGTGATTAGAAAGATCAAAAATTTCTTTTGTATTAACAAAATATTTATTATACTCAGAAAAAACGTATTTCTCAATACATATGACGTAAAAATCTCAAAATATCTATATATTTTAGTACTTCCATTGAATTCATAATACGTACTTCACTACTCAATTATATTCGAACTATTATTATTTTACTTGAACAACTCGTGAATGATGAACAGTATATTGGGGGAGCAAGCAGAAACTGTTGTTCTATTGTTGTTTGTAACAATATTGAATTTATTCTTCATTTTTTTTTGGTCACATTATCAGAAAGTAAGTCTTATGCATAATAAAAAATAAAAATAAAACTGATAATGTCTTCATTTGTTTCGAGATGCTAGAAGACAAATAAAAACTGAATGAGATAAGACATCCAACGCACTGACTTTCAAGTGACTATTAACTATATAGATGATAAGAAAACGAAAGTTGGAAAGAATAACCATGAAATAAATGATATTGCTGGGTTTTTTTTCTCTAAGTATTGTTGCTGACAACGATACTTTTGATTACATCCAGGTGAAGTTTGACCTTGAGTTTCAACGAAAAAAACAGTCGACATCCAACGTATAAATAGCAAAAGTAATATCTATTCAAACAACAATCTATTTACTAATCAAGCAGCAAAAATGGCATCAAAAATGACTCGATATCAAAGACACCGTATGGCTGAAAATTATTTGGTCATCTGGGTCGATGGAAATAACGACATGGCAAATCAAGATTGCCAAAATACAATGGAACAATTACGTGCTGTCGTCAATCAAGTTAATCCATGTAAGACCGCTGAACAATGCATACAACAGCTCACAGAAAATCAAGAGGAGATCTCATTTGTTATCTCCTCAGGTGCACTTGGACAACATTTAGTGCCGGACATTCATGATATAGCAAAATTAAATGCCATTTTCATATTTTGTGGCAATAAGCAACGGCATCAAGTATGGGCGCAAAATTGGCCGAAAATTAAAGGTGTTCACACCTCAATCAAACATATTTGCGACAAATTGGCAACAACAATCAAACAATGCAATCAAGATCACATGTCGGTAAGCATTGTTAGTGTGAATGCAGAAGGTTCTAGCAAGAATCTAGATCAGCTAGAACCTTCTTTTATGTATTCACAAATATTCAAGGAAATACTCCTTGAAATCAAACATGATCAACAAGCCGTCCAAGATTTGGTCACGTACTGCCAAGAACAATATCAAGGCAATAAGAATGAAATGAAAATTATCCAAGAATTTCAACGTAATTATAAAGCATCCAATGCCATTTGGTGGTATACACGCCAATGCTTCACATACAAAATGCTGAATGGAGCATTAAGAACACTCAATGGCGACATTGTGATCCGAATGGGTTTTTTCCTGTGTGATGTACATCGTCAAATCGAAACCTTGTACAAAAATCAGGTCAGTCAATACCATAACAAGATTTTTACAATCTTTCGAGGGCAAGGCCTATCGAAAGTAGACTTTGAAAAGCTCGCAGAAAACAAAGGCGGGCTTATTTCTTTTAACAACTTTTTATCTACCAGCACAAATTCAGATGTCTCCCTCGTTTTCGCTAAAGGAGCCTTGAAAATGACTGATATGGTTGGAATTCTATTCCAAATAACCATTGATCCTACAGTATCATCAACTCCATTCGCTTCCATCCAGGAGGTGAGCTATTATAAGGAAGAAGAGGAAATTCTCTTCTCCATGCATACCGTCTTTCGCATTGGTGAAGTGCGAAAAATTGACAACAATCGTGCACTTTATCAGGTCGATCTTAAACTTACGTCAGATGATGATCCACAACTTCGAGAATTAACTGACTACATACGACAAGAAGTCGACGGTACCGGATGGTATCGAATGGGTAAATTGTTACTCAAAATAGGTCAATTCGACAAGGCCGAAGAACTATATATGGCACTACTAGAACAGGCATCGGATGACAGTGATAGAGCATACATCTATCACCAGCTTGCAGTGATGAAATACAGCCAAGGACAATACGAAGAAGCAGTTGCATTTTACGAAAAATTTCTGCAAATCAAGCGAAAAACTCTTCCAGAAGATCATCTTTCTTTAGCTCCTTACTACAGCAACATCGGCCTAGTGTATAACGACATGGGGGACTACTCAAAAGCACTTGAATTTTACGAGAAAGATCTAGAAATCACAAAAAAAGCTCTGCCTTCGAATCATCCCTCATTGGCTACTTCGTACAGCAACATCGGTCAAGTGTATAATAACATGGGTGACTACTCGAAAGCACTTGAATTTTACGGAAAATCACTTGAAATTAAAGAAAAAGCTTTGCCTTCAAATCATCCCTCATTGGCTACTTCGTACAGCAACATCGGTCTAGTCTATAATAACATGGGTGACTACTCGAAAGCACTTGAATGTTACGAAAAATCACATAAAATCTACGAAAAAGCTCTGCCTTCGAATCATCCTGATTTGGCTACTTCGTACAACAACATCGGTCAAGTGTATAATAACATGGGTGACTGCTCGAAAGCACTTGAATTTTACGAAAAAGATCTAGAAATCACAAAAAAAGCTCTGCCTTCGACTCATCCCTCATTGGCTACTTCATACAGCAACATCGGTCAAGTGTATAATAACATGGGTGACTACTCGAAAGCACTTGAGTTTTACGAAAAATCACATAAAATCTACGAAAAAGCTCTGCCTTCGAATCATCCTCATTTGGCTGGAAGTCATTTAAGTTTTGCGGCATGTTACGAAAGAATGGGTGATTACAC